ACTTGGAAGGGATGTAGGAGATCCTGGATAGAGAGGGAGAACAATGTGGAACAAAACTCAAAATCATTTGGAGGAAAAATAAAAAAGAAGGTGGGGACCAGGTTTGCTGCTCCAATAGAGCCTGGTGGAACCACTGAGACTATGGCCCCTAACTGCCCTTCAGGTCTGGAATTAAACCCACACCTATGGTTTCCAGCGCAAGAAAGTACAGGCATGTGAGTTAAACATTTACCTGAAGTAGACACACACCCTGGAGAGAACAATCATGGGAGAAGGAAGGGCTGCTTATACACAGGGAGACAGCTCAGGGGGCAGGAAAGTATGGAGGGATGGACTCTGGGAAGAGGTAACTATGGGGAGGAAGTGGGAGGGGAGCTGTTGCATTGTGGTAAACTTGATCAATGATATGAGACAAAGTATATGTGAACTGCTGCATGGAAAGTGAATTTGCTCTGTAAATCTTCACCCAAATCACAATAAATTTAAAAAAAAAAAATTAAACTAAAAAAAAAAAAAGTCCATTTTACCCAAGCAGTAAGAGCCTAACATTTTTCCTATTAAACAAATCCACAAAGTAAAAAAAAAAACAAGACTTCCCAGTCCTTTTTTCCACATCACTGAATACTGATACTTGTTGTTGTTGTTAGGCTTTTCAAATCTTTGCTCAACATTAAGAGAACAGAGGTGGAAGACTCCCCCTGGGGCTCAGACCAGAATGCATAAGCATAAGAAAGGTATAGTTTGTAATTTAAATTCCTTCTGTTAAATTTATGAGCTCTGGTGGCACAGTGCCTAAGGCATTTGACTGCTAACCAGAAGGATGTTGGTTCACACCCAACAGCCACTCCTTGGAAGGAAGACTAGGCAATCTACTTCCATAGTGAAACTACCTTGGAAACCAAGGAGGTGTTAACTATGAATTGGATCCAACTCGATAGCAGTAAGTTTTTGGTCTATTAAATTTAGATTTTAAAAAAAGAAAAATCAATTAACTCAGTTTAAAACATCATACAGCTATTTATAATTTAATGACTCAAAAGGCAGAGGAATGACAAAAGCAATTGCGATTCTGGACTTAATTCCAAAACAGAAGGAAGAACTTGTTCCTGCTGTGGAAAAAAACAGAAATTAAAGGAGAAGTGACCCTCTGGGCTTTATGATTAAAAAAGAAATTGTCTGGGCAATGCAGTTACAAGTGAACCTTATAATTTAGGAAAGTAAATTTCAAAACCTAAAGAAATTATACATATGACTCCATAGACAGCAAAGGTAAAAAGATAATACAGACTGAACTGGATTTAAGGCTTATAAAGTGGAATTCTAATCAAATAAATAATTTTTTCAATGCCTAGGAAGAAACTTCTAAAGAAAATACTGTGGAAGTTCCAGTAAGATGGCAGAAAAAGCAGACAAGCTACACAACAGACCCTCTGTAACAAAGCAATGAGATACCAATTGAAACCAATACAGAAGATAATCCTGGAACACTGTGGAGCTTTGAAGGAAAGGATAAAGAAGTGGATTAAATACCAACTAGTAGAAGAACTCTAATGAAACAGTAAGAAGATAAACGTAGTGGCGGACTACCAGTGGTCCTGAGGGCACAACCATCTTGAATATTTCCTGGTGCAACCTAAGAATCAATCAGCTTCGCTCACCAAGGAATATATGGGCAACTACTGCATTGGTGTCTGACAACTAGAAAGGAAAAGAGCGAAGAATGAGACAAATAGACCTGTGGACTATCAGGGGCTCTTCTGGGGGTGTGGCCATTTTGAATATTTACAGTCAATGAGCATGGCCAGTTTGACTGCATCCAAGTCATGTCTGACCTGGACAGCAACATAAGAATAGAATCCGCTTGCCCAGGACAGCACAGGCAACTGCACTAGAGGCTAAGGATTAGAAACGTGCAATATTCCCCTTATTACTCTTATACCCCATACCCTCTCAGTGAACAGAAGTGTGGCCATCCCTGCCTCCACTCACCTTCTTGACTAACAAGAATGCCATCCCAGTCGGTGCCCTGACAGTGCCTGGGTGCCATGCCCTGGCCCCCACAGTTTTGTTTTTAAATTATTCTTTTTATCTTCATCCCTACACTTCCTTTTCCCTCTTTCCCATCCCTGTTTTTTTTTTCTTTTGTTCCCACCCCCCCTTTCCTGGTTTGCTTCTTTTTCTTTCTTTTGGTTCTTACTATCCCTTGCTATTCCTTTTGCAGTTTTCCCATTTTTTCTTTACTATTCTTTTACTGTTGTTCTTGTCTCTCATTCCTCCCTCCTCAGATATTGTGGCTTTTTTTATTTCTGTCTTTTCCTCATTATCTTTCTTTTATCCTTTGTAAATATATTTTGAAAATTTTTCTTTTAATTTATTGCATTACTTTATTTTTTTGTGTGTGATTGTTCCTGTTTATTTATGCAGTTTGAGGGGTTTTTGTTCTCTTGTTTTCATTTTTTTTTTTTTTTTTGGTGGTATTTTCTTTCTTTTTTTTGGTCTGGGTTGAAGACAGAACCATTTCCATACAATCCAACCATACCTGCACCTCCTGCAGCCCTAACCATTGAATGAAGGCCACCATTTGCTTTTGTACCAACTGACCAACAACAAATAGCGGCCAATACCAGCTCAACTCACCATCAACTGCTCTTAATGAACAGCTAACAGAGATCTGTGCTCACACTCTCATTCTCTATCACATCCCACCAGGAGACAGGTGGTAAGTGCCTAAATGCTAACAACTAGTGAATAGAGGAACACAGTTTCCTGCTCACACAAATATATCAAAACAAAATAAAGGAAAAAAAAAAATCTTGGGTGAACCACACCAAAATACAACCACAAATTAAATATAAATACAAAAACATCACAATGTCTTAGAGACAACAGAACATCAAGGTCCAAACAAAGAAGCAAAATAAAGCAGTACAAACAAGGGACTAGAATACAAACCAAGAAAACATCCCTGAGGAAGAAGCAGCATTGGAACTCCCTGATAAAGAGCTCAAAAGAATTATATTTGACTAGCATAGTGCCTAAGGCACTTGACTACTAACCAGAAGGCATGTGGTTCAAACCCATCAGACACTCTTCGGAAGGAAGACAGGGCAATCTACTTCCGTAGTGATACTGCCTGGGAAACCCAAGGAGGGGTCACTATGAGTCAGGTCTGACTCGACGGCACATATTGACAACAACAACAAACCTTCAATGCATTGAGGGACAGATCAAGGAAAACATTTCAAAATTAAGGAAAACATACAAAAAATTCTAGAACAATTTAGAAGAACAATACAAAAAGAAACTGACAAACAAAAAATCTGAAATGAAACAAAAACAACAAATAGAAATCCAGACAATTAAAACTAAGATTTCAGAAATAGATTACATGTTGAATGGGCAAAGGAGTAGAACCAAATCAATGGAAGACAGAATTAATGAGACTGAAGACAAATACATCAGTACTATTTTGTTGAGTGATCAATCAGACAAAAGAACAAAACAAAATGAAGAAAGCCTAAGATTCATGTGGGTACCATCAAGAGGAGTAACATACGTGTAATTGTAATTCCAGAACAGGAAGAGACAGATCAAGAAAGAAAAATTGTTGAAGATTTGTTGGAAGATAATTTCCATAATATGAACATTCAATATCCATTCAAGAAATTCAACAAACCAAACAGAACAGATTCCAAAAGAAAATTACCAAGACATATCATTATCAAACTCATCAAAACGAAAGACAAAGGATAATTCCTGAAAGCAGCACAGGAAAAATGAATAGTTACCTACAAAGAGCAATCAATAAGACTAATGAAGCTCTGATTTCTTGGCAGAAACCATGCAGGTGAGAAGGCAACGGGATGACATATATAAAACCCTGAAAGAAAAAAATTTCCAAACAAGAATTACATACCTAGCTAAATTGTCCCTCAAATATGAGGGTGAAATTAGGACATGTCCAGATAAGCACAAATTAAGGGAATTTGTTAAAACCAGACCAACCTTACAAAAGATGCTAAAGGGAGTCCTTCAGACAAGAGAACCAACAACAGCAAACAATAACCAATGAGTAACACACATGACGATATAACCCAGAAAACAACCCAGTTATGGAAGTATCCAAAGTAAAATAAGCTTACAAGACTGTAAGGGAACCAGAGACATCAACTGGTAAATGAGGATATCTACAAACCAAAAAGGGAATAAATACTGTATTTACAGAACTTCCAAATGGTGAGGAAGTCAAGACAATCAAGAGGTAGAGACTTTTTTAAACTTGGGAAGAAAATTATAAATCACAGGTTAACCTCAAAGAAAAATAATAAACCTACTCATCAAAATAACAAAGAGAACAACCACAAATATTTAGGAAATACTAAAACAATAGCAATGAAGATGATAAAATGATTCATAAACAAAATGACCTCAGCACATAAAATTATATGGAACAAAGAATTCCACACAGCATGAAAAAAACACATAACAAAATGACAGCAATAAATGCATACTTGTCAATAATTAAATGAATATAAACAGATTAAATGCACCACTCAAGAGATAAGAGAGTTGCAGACTGGATAAGAAAACATGACTCATCAACATGCTATCTACAAGAGACTCACTTTAGACACAAAGACAAAAACAGACTAAAAATCCAAGGCTGGAAAAAGATATACCAAGCCAACGATAACACAAAAAGGGCAGGAGTAGCAATATTAACTTCTAATAAAGTTGACTTTAGGACAAAAATGACCATAAGAAACAAGGAAGGACATTATATAATGTTTAAAGATCAACTGAACAAAAGGACATAATCATGGTAAGTATCTATGCACCCAATGAAAGAACTCCAAAATACATAAATCAGACATTAACGAATTGAAAAGACAAACAGATAACTCTACTGTCATAGTTGTTGTTGTTGTTATGTGCCGTCGAGTCGGACCTGACTCATAGCGACCCCTCCTGGGGTTCCCGAGGCAGTATCACTATGGAGTAGATTGCCCAACCTTCCTTCCGAGGAGTGGCTGGTGGGTTTGAATCACCAGCCTTTTGGTTAGCAGTCAAGTGCCTTAGACACTACACTACCAGAGCTCCTCCTGTCATAGTTGTTGTTATGTGCCGTCGAGTCAAACCCGACTCATAGTGACCCCTCCTTGGGTTTCCGAGGCAGTATCACTACGGAAGTAGGATTGCCCAACCTTCCTTCCGAGGAGTGGCTGGTGGGTTTGAACCGCCAGCCGTCTGGTTAGCAGGCAAGTGTCTTAGCCACTATGCTACCAGAGCTCCTCCTGTCATAGTAGAAGACTTTAATACACCACTTTCAATGAAAGATAGAACTAGAAAGAAACTCAACAAAGATGCAGGAGAACTAAACTATATGATCAACTAACTTGACCTTACAGATATCTACAGAGCATTTCACCCAACAACAGCACAGTATACATTCCTTCCAGCACACATGGAACATTCTCCAGAATAGACCATATGTTAGGCCACAAAGAGAGCGTCAATACATTTAAAAACACTGAAATCTTACAAAGCATCCCCTCAGATGAAAATGCTGTAAAATTAGAAATCAACACTAGGAAGACCAATGGAATGAATAAACGCATGGAAACTGAGTAACACCCTCCTCAAAAACGACTGGAGAATAGAAGAATTAAAAAAATTCCTTGAATCTAATGAAAAGGAAAATACAACATACCAAAATCTTTGAGACACAGTAAAACCAGTGATCAGAGAGCAATTTATAGCAATAGATGCACAAATTAAAAAAGAAGAGCCAAAATTAACCCCTTAACCCAACATCTACAACAATTAGAAAAAGAGCAGCCAAAAAAGCCTAGTCACCAGAAGAAAAGAAAATTAATAAAAGGTTTGAGCAGAAGTAAATGAAACAGAAAAGCAACAGAAAAAATCAACAAGACTAGAAGTTGTTCTTGGAAAAGATTAACAAAATCCACAAACCACTGGCAAACATCACAAAGGAAAAGAAGGAGAAGATGTAAATAACATGAAGAAATGAAATAGGTGATGTCACAACAGAAACAAAAAGAATAGTTATCAGGATACCATGAAGAACTGTACTCCAAAAAAATCTGAAACCTAGAAAAAATGGACAGATTTCTAGAAACATACTTACCTAAACTAACACAGACTGAGGGAGAAAATTTGAAGAGACCCATAACAAAAAAAGAAATTGAAAAGGTCATAAAAAAAACTACCAACAAATAAAAGTCTCGACCCAGGTGGTTTCACTGCAGAATTCTAACAATGACTCAGAGAAGAGCTGACACCAATCCTACTCAAACTATTCCAGAACATAGAAAAGAATGGAATTCTCTCTAATTCATTTTATGAAGCAAGCATAACCTTGACACCAAAACCAAAGATACCACTAGAAAGGAAAACTACAGACCAATATCCCTTGTGAATACAGATGCAAAAATCATCAACAAAATCCTAGCCAATTACTAAAGGGGCAAGAAGGTAGCATCTTTTGACCTCCTCTAACTACACAAGAGGAAGACAGAATCACCATCAGCAGTCCAAGGCCTGTTCCTATGAAGCCAGACACGCCACCACACTCCAGGCTTCTTATCAACTTAATACCAATCATCGCTCCCACAGCACTCATTACCTCTTTGCTGGGTTCAGTAATTCACTGCAGTGGCCACACAGAATTCACATATTATGGAGTTTATTAGGGAAGCAACAGGCTACAATTTAAGTTCAGGAATGTGCTCAGGATACAGTTCCTCAATCAGGACAGTCTCCCCTCTGCTGTGTCCTCAGACATGCCTCTCTGGCCCTTGGCCTCTCAGCCTACCCTCTGCCTCTGTGGGCCAGGTAAGCCTACTGTTCTGTCCCATGCCTCTTGGTTCCACTGCTGCCATCTCTCAGCCAGGCGTCTCTCTCAGGTGGCAGTTAGATTCCCTTCTGCCTCTAGGAAAGCTATGTTAAGCCTGGCAGAGTGGCAAAACTAACCAATCCCAACATCAGAGATCCACACACCTGAGAGAGAGAGAACTATCCCAGAAGAGTACTTCCTGCTGCTCTAATAGAAATACCTCAAGTGGATAACTTTAATAATCAAGAGTTTAAAAGCAGTATTAAGCTGCTCACAGCGAATTCCACCACAGAGTTAACTGTCAGTCTTATTATAGGAAATAATTACTACCAGCTGCCCAGCCAAGTTGGCAGATATTTGCATGATCCCACCCAGTAATCAGGTGGAGTTACAAAGACTATGGCTAGAAAAGTCATACCATGCAACTCACTACACCGCACCAACAGACTCCAATAGCATATCAAAAATATAATACATCATGACCAAGTAGGATTCATACAATGTATGCAAGAGACTCAGTAAGAAAACTCCTGGAACTTATTGAAAAATTTAGCATATGGCAGGATACAAGAGCAACATACAAAAATGAGCTGGATTCCTCTACACCAGCAAAGAGGTCTCTGAAAAGGAAATAAGAAAATCAATACCATTTACAATAGCTATCAAAAAGATAAAACACTTGGGAATAAATCTTCCCAGGAACACAAAAGACCGATATAAAGAAAATGACATAATACTACTTCCAGAAACTGTAAGAGATCTACATAAATGGAAGAACATACCATGCTCATGGATAGGAAGACTGAACATAGTAAAACTGTCAATACTACCCAAGACTGAACATAGTAAAACTGTCAATACTACCCAAAATAATCTGTAAATTCAATGCAGAGTCCATCAACATCCTTCAAAGACATGGAAAATCCAATCACTAATTTTATATGGCAAGTAAACAGACCATAGAAAAGCAAAGCACTCTTGAAGAAGAACAACAAAGTAAGAGGTCTCACACTCTCAGATCTCAAAACCTACTATACAGCCACAGTAGTCAAAACGCTTGGTACAGGTACAACAACAGACACATAGACTAGTGGAACAGAATTTAGAAACAAGAAACAGATTCATCCATCTGTGGTCAGCAGATCTTTGATAAAGCATCAAAATCCACGAAATGGGGAAGAGATACTCTCTTTCACAAATGGTGATGGCAAAACTGGATATTCATTTGCAGAAAAATGAAACAAGATCCATACCTCACACCACACACAAAATCTAACTCCAGATGGATCAAAGACTTAAATGTTGAAGCCTAAAACTATAAAGTTCATCAAAGAAAAAACAGGTAGAAAATTAGGGGCCCCAATTTATGGCATAAAAAGAATATCAAGCATAACTCAAGATGCACACACATCAGAAGAAAAACTAGGTGATTGGGACTTTCTAAAAATTGAAGTCATGGGTACATCAAAAGACTACTCCAAAGAGTAAAAAGAGAACCTACAGAATGGTAAAAAATATTTGGCAATGACATATCAGAAAAGGACTTATCTCTAAAATTTATAGAAAACTCTCACATCAACATCAAAAAGACAAACAATCCAATTTAAAAATGGGCAGAAGACATCAACAGACGCTTCACCAAAGATATTCAGGGAGCCAACAAACACATGAAGAAATGTTCATGATCATTAGCCATTAGAGAGATGCAAATCAAAACAACCATGAGATACCATCTCACCCCAGCATTAATAGCAAAGTTCAACAAGACAGAAAATAACAAATGCTGGTGAGGATGTGGAGATTGGAACTCTCATACGCTGCTGGTGGGACTGTAAAATGAAACAATAACTGGAAATTGACAATGCAATCCCTTAAAAATTTGGAAATGGAAATACCATTTGATCCAGCAATCCTATGACTAGGTATAGACCCAAAGGCAGGACACAAATAGATATATGTACACCCATGTCCATTGCAGTACTATTCACAATAGCAAAGAGATAGAAACAACCTAAGTGGCCATCAATGGAGGAATGAATAAACAAACTGTGGTACATACACACAGTGGAATACTATGCAACCCTAAAGAATAATGTAGAATCTGTAAGAACCTGGAGGACATTATGCTAACTGAAATAAATCAATCATAGGACAAATATTGTATTAGTCCACTATTTTAAAATGTTAACAAAAGTTCATACATGAAAGGAAAGTTTCTTTGTTAGTTACAGGGATGGGAGGAGAAGAGAGGGAAAATTCCTAAATAGGCTTTAAAACATATATATGCCAAAGATTAGTGGTTACCTAGGATGGGAGGGAGGTGGGAAATGGGCAGCTTTTGTTTGCAGGGCATTGAGTTTATGGTAATGGTGGTAGAATATTTTGGAAAAGAATACCAACAATGGTGTTACAACATGAAAAATGTCATCAATGTCCCTGAGCTAAAAATATGGAAGTTATGTTGGCAAATGTCTTGTTGTGTATGTTTTCACCACAATAAAAGTAAAAAAGAAAATACTGTGGTTATACCTGGTATTCTCCAATGAGTTCAAATACAAATGATCATACATAAAAAAGGAAGGCAACCAAGGTGAATAAAAAAACTAACACAAAACTTAGTTGAGAACAAGACTAGGAAGGCAAAGTTAAAAATGAGTGGAGGCTGAGCAATATTCAGATCCACTGAGTTATTTGATCAGAACACCTACAGAGATAACATTTCAAACACACATTAGGCTACAATTTATAACTAAAACAGTATCACAGACGTTAACTGAAAAGAACTCACAGATTTGGATGATTACAATATTTTTGCATTGAGATGCAGTCAAAAATCAAAAAACAAAGCCTTAAAATACAAAATCAAAAAATACATATATTGCCTTTTTGTTCATAATTACAACATAAAACAATTTTATGGTGAATCATTATAGCAACATAGAATACCGGAGTGTGATGGCTCTTGCCACAGGATCATTACTATGAATCACAGAGAAAATTCTCTTCACAAATTCATCCACATTTAGAATCTTCTCCAAATGCTTCTCACTTTGTTGGGTAACCTTAAGAACACAAAGCCTCAGGAAATTGTTTCTATGAAAAACCAGAGATAAAATAAATTAAACCCATTTAGGAAACTAGTATTTACGTACAGATCAAAGCAGCACAAATGATGTTAAATTTTAACAATTAACAAATGTTTAAAATCTTATTAATATTTGTCTCACTACTAGAGAAGTCATCTAAAGTCTGTACTTAGTTAGAGACCAAGTATAAACAGTTAGCTCCTGTTCCTGATGCAGGACAACAAAATGGCAATGACACAAAAAGCAGCCCTCAAGTCAAACCTTCAATCATATTATAACCAAGATCAGAAAGTAAGATGATCTTCCTCCTCTCTCGGACAGGGCTCAAAATACAAGATCCTGAATAGAATGGGAGAAAAATGTGGAACAAAACTCAAAATCATTAAAAAAAAAAAAAAAGAAAAGAAAAGATGAGGTTTACTGGTCTGACAGAGTGACAGAGACTGGTAAAATCCCTGAGATTATAGCCCCTAGTCACCCTTTGGGCCTGGAATTGAACTCATTACTGTGGCTTCTAGCCAAAGACAGGCTGTATAAGGTGAACATTTATACCAGGTAGGTACATTCTTTAGATCAACTATGGGAGATCAGAAGGGAAGTATTTACACAGGGAGATAGATCATTCAGAGGGCAGAATACATAGGAAAGAAAGAAAGGGAAAAAGCAATCACAGGAAGGAAACAGAAGAGAGTTGTTATATTATGGGGATTACAATCAATGTCATTACACAAAACGTGTATGAACTACAAATACATGGAAAATGAATTTGCTCTATAAATTTTCACCCAAATCATAATTAAAAAAAAATCACAGCCTTGGAAACCCTATAGGGCAGTTCTATTCTGTCCTAGAGGGTTGCTATGAATCAGAATCAACTCAATGGCACTACGTTTGGTCTTCTGATTTTAATTTCATTTATCTTGTTTCCCAAAAAATAAGTATTCTCTGAATTATATTCTTAATATTTGCTTATACGTTCTTTAAATTTCACAATGCAATGCTATGTTGTACATTGCCACATATGTCACTGAAGTGGTAACTATTCATGAGGAAGTCCTAAAAGGCAAAAAGAAGAAAGACCACAGTACAAAGCAAAGAAATATGAACAAAGTGCTTTAGGAGACTGAAGCCTTATAAATACTTACCCAACTCTGAAAACATCAGCTAACTTTAGGAATGCAGAATTGATGAGAATAGGGAATGGATACTTTTGAAAGAGTCTGGGAAAACGAACAACTGCTTCACATTGTTCTCCAAGTTTGCCAGATCTTAGACCTATGAAAACAATAAAAAAGGGGAGAACAGCTTGCAAACGTGCAGCTACAAAGCAAAAACCACAAATAACAATGAATTATACATAAAGCAATAATTTCTTAATTAGGTAAATATAACTCTAACTCATCTGTTAAAAGTAAAAAAAAAAAAAAGAAGATAAAATAGCTACTTGGTAGATTGGCACTCTTAGATACACAATACAATGAAAAAGAAATATTTTTTTTATTTTTTAAAAAAGTTAAGCCTTCATTAAGAATATTCTGGGCTGTAAAATAAACAAATGTAAAAGCACTGAAATCATACCACGCATGTTCTCTGACCACCAAACCCATAGATAAGAGTCAATTCTGATTCACACTGGCCCTATAGGATAGAGTAGAACTGCCCTATAGGATTTCTAAGGCTGTGATTTTTATGGGAGAAAATTTATCTTTCTCCTGAAGAGCAGCTGGTGGGTTCAAATGGCTGCTCTTTTGCTTAGTAGCTGAGCACTTTGACCACTGTGCCACTAGGGTTCCTTCTCTGACAACAATGGAACTAAATTAGAAGACAATGAGAAAGATACCTAGAAAACTCCCAAATACTTAGAAATTAAACAACACACTTCTGAATAACTCATGGGCTAAAGGAGAAATTAGGAAAATATTTTGAATGAAAATGAAAGCACAGTCTTTGCAATGCCGCTAACATAGTGCCTCAAGGAACATTTACCACATTAAACACTTATATTTTCTAATATAAGACAGGTTTTGAATCATTAATCTAACAAAGATGCCAAGATAATTCAGTGTGGAAAGGATAACCATTTCAATAAACAGTTCTGCAACAACTGGACATCTATAAACAAAAGCATAGATCTCAACACTTAACTTGCACCATATGCAAAGAAAAAAAAATTCACTTACAATGAACCATAAACCTAAATGTAAGAATAAAAGTTATTAACCATGTAGCAGAAAACATAGGGGAAAATCTTTATGACCTTGGGTTAGGCAAAGAATTCTTAAAAAAAAAAAAACCACAAACATACAAATCATAAAATAAAAAAGTGGTAAGCTGAAATCTATCAAAATATAAAATATCTGCTCTTCAAAACATACTGCAAAGAGAATAAAAACACGTCATATACTAGAAGAAAATATTTACAAAACATGTATGTGATAAAAGGTTTCATCTATAATTCTTAAAATTTAGTAAGACAATTCAATTTTTCAAAAGGGCAAAAGATTTTAAAAGAAACTTCATTAAAGAGGAAATATAGCTGGCATACTAGTTCACCCAATAGATTCTCAGTGTGCTAGTTCGCCAGAGATGCAAGTTAAAAATAATAATAAGATATTACTATACACACACTAGAATGGCAAAATATTTAAAGATTGACAATACGAAGGGCCAATGAGAATGTGCAGCAACTGTTAACTCACCTACATTTGTAAGTTGTTGTTGTTGTTGTTGTTAAGTGCCGTCGAGTCGTTTCCGACTCATAGCGACCCCATGCACAGCAGAACGAAACACTGCCCGATCCCGCACCAGCCCCACAATCCCTGCTATACTCGAGCCCATCATCGCAGCCACTGTATCAATCCATCTCGTTGAAGGCCTCCCCCTCTTTCGTCGACCCTCCACCCTACCAAGCATGACATCCTTCTCCAGGGAATGGTCCCTTCTTACAACATGACCAAAATAGGTGAGACGAAGTCTGGCCATTCTTGCTTCCAAGGAGCATTCTGGCTGCACTTCCTCCAGGACAGATCTGTTAGTTCTTTTAGCAGTCCATGGTACTTTCAGCATTCTTCGCCAGCACCACAACTCAAAAGCATCAACTCTTCTTCGGTCTTCCCTATTCATTGTCCAGCTCTCACATGCATACAAGGTGATTGGAAATATCATGGCTTGTGTCAGGTGCACCTTAGTCCTCAAGGAGATATCCTTGCTCCTCAGCACTTGAAACAGTTCCTTCGCAGTTGACTTTCCCAATGCTACACGTCGTCTAATGTCCTGACTGCTGCTTCCGTTGGCATCGATTGTAAGTTTGTAAGTGGTCATGAAAAACTATGCAGTTACTTTGTAGAACAGTCTGGCAGTTTCTTATAAGATAAATATAAACAAACTCAAAAATCTCACTTCTAGATATTTGTTTTTTTGTTGTTAGGTGTCATTTAGTTGATTCTGGCTCATAGGGATCCCATGTGACAGAGCAGAACTGCCCCATAGGGTTTTCTAGGCTATAATCTTTCCTGAAGCAGATTATTAGGTCTTTTTTCCCCCATGGAGCCACTGGGTGGGTTGAACTGCCAAACTTTTGGTAAGCAGCTGAGTGCTTAACTGTTCATGCCACCAGGGGTCTTTGCTAGATATCTACCCAAGTGAAATGAAAATGCAATGTCCACATAAAGATCTGTATGCAAATGTTCACAGCAGCTTTATTCATAACAGCCCCAAATTAGAAATAATACATATGTCCATCAACTTGTGAATGAGTACACAAATTGTGGTATACCCATATAATGGAATACTATTCAGTAATAAACAAGAACCAATTATTGATTCATACAACAACATGGATAGATCTTAAGATCATCGTGCTAGGTGAAGGAAGCCAGATCCAAAAGACTATATACATTGTACGATTCCATTTTATATGACCTTCTGGAAAAGGCAAAATCATAGGGGTAGGAAACAGATCACTGGTTACCAGGCACTGGAGAGAGAGGACTAACTGTAAATGAACATGAGGAAACTTTCCAGGGTGAAGGATACATTCTACTTCTTGATAATAATAGTGGACTCATGACTGCATACCCTTGTCTAAACCCACCAATTTGTACACTTCAAAAAGTACTCCTTTAAAAGTGTGCCAGCTTATTAACATACTACACAAAAACACTGTTCTACATTCTACTTTGGTGTAGCAAATGAGGTCTTAAAACCTTGCAAGCAGCCATCTAAGATGCAACAATTGGTCTCTCCTGGACCAGAGCAAGTAAGAATGAATAAAATCAAAGATACATAGAAACAATTAGTCCAACAGACTAATGGACCATGCAAACCTCAGCCTACATTGACCCTGAGACCAGAAGAACTAGATGGTATTGGGCTACCACTGCCAACCACTTGGAAAGAGATAAAAATAGGAGATCCTGAATAGAATGGGAGAAATATGTGGAAAAAAGCTCAAAATCTAGTAAGACCAGGCTTCCTGGTCTGACAAACTGGTGAAACCTCTGAGACTATGGCCCCTAGTCACTCTTTGAGCCTGGAACTGACTCTCCGGTGGCTTCCAGCCAAACCAGACAGGTGTATAAGGTAAACATTTACATCAGATAGGTACACTCCTTAAAACAATCAACCATGAGAAATCAGAGGGGCAGTATTTGCAGCAGAATAAAGTTCAGAGGGCAGGAATGCATAGGAAAGAAGGGCACAGAAAAAGGCAGCCACAGGAAGTGGGAAGAAGGCTGTTACATTTGTGGGGATTGCAATCAATGTCATGAAACAAAATGTGTACAATCTGTTGTACAGAAAATGAATTTGTTCTGTAAGCTTTCACCCTAATCACACAGAAAAAAAGTGTGCCACCTTCTGTATATGCACAGGGAAACAGCTCAGGGGGCAGGAGTGCATGGGAGGAAAGGACACAGGGAAGGGGTAACTATGAGGAGAAAGTGGGAGGGGAGCTGTTGCATTATGGAAAACTGCAGTTAATATGAGACAAAGTTTATATGTGAGCTGCTGTATAGAAAGTGAATTTGCTCTGTAAACTTTCACCCAAATCACAATACAAACTTAAAAAAAAAAAAAGTGTGCCAACTTAAAATCAAACCAAAACCACTGTCACTGAGTCAATTCCTACTCAAGGTGACCCCCATAGGCTTTCCAAGTTTGTAAATCTACAAAAGCTTCATCCTTCTTCCTTGGAGAAGCTGGTGGGTTCAAACCACCAACATTTTGGGTAGGTGCCAAATGCCTTACCACAGCGCCATCAGAGCTCCCTGCCAGCTTCAAAGTATACCTTAAATTATACCTTAGTAAACCTGATTTTAAAAATGAAAAAAAAATGAGCTACTGCTCAACCTCAAAAAAAAAAAAAAAAAAAAAATCATTAAGAATATCTTGATATGAAGTTAATACCACCAGCTTCAAATATTTCTTTCTTTTGGTATTTTGCCATCCACGAAAATGTGGATTTTATCTGCACAAGGGACAAACGTATTATAGTATTTTCATTCAGGAACTTCTACTTATTGCTAAAAATGACAAAAGATATATTTATCTGAAGGGTTTTAATGGCTGCCACTATGTTTCAATACAAAAGACTACTTACGCACACTAAATCTGCACTGGCAATATCTACAATTTACTAATGGGTCACATTCTGTAAATGCACTCATGTTAGTTATTTGGTACCTGAAACATATTTCCTCACAGGAACTGTAAGGCACTTATAGTAGTCTAGAGCCTAATAAACACTTATAAAATAAGCCACTTATAAACATCACTTGGAAAAATTAATTCAAAGAGAATTCAAATTTTTAATTGAGATACTGAGAACATATCCCTCCTTCACCTGCTCCATTGGTCCCCCATCCTTCTTCCCCAGGCCCCCCTCCAGCCTTGCCCCAAACACACAAAAAGAACTATCACTAAGGCTCTAGAAGCTACTTCCCACCAAACATGGTGTGACAAGAAGGACATTCCAAGTGACTGGCAGTGATTCATGTAGCCTGAAGAAGGCTTTTCTAAAGGCCTAACATGAAAAGGGGGTCAAAGGACATGCAGACAGAGCCATAAATGACACAAGGGAAGAAGAAGAGCAAGGGCTGAGAATGGGAGGTGAGAGGAACAGAGAAGGAACAGAAGATGTGCTCTTACATATGTGTGCTGGGGGGAAGGGGTTGTTGGGAAAATCCACAATAATAGAATTTTTTTCCTCTTCTTCTCAGTGCCAGCTGTTGACTTAAATGCAAAAGATAGTAAGTTCACTTTGCAATGAATTTACC